TACCATTTAAAAAATAAATCTAAGCAAAAAATCGCAAGAAGAAACCTAAAACTTCTTGCAAATATAAAAATATTTTATAAGTTTTTTACTTAGAATAATAACGCATAGAAACCTAGCCCGCACACGCTAAGTGAGGCAAGTTAGAGGGTTCCAAACGCGTCCCAGGAGCGCGCGGGCTGTTAGTGCTCAAGGTCATATTGCACCGCGAACAGCTCCAAAATTTTTTGCTAAAAATGACGAAATGTGCGGTAAATGGGTGTAAAAATACAACAGACAAACAAAATAGACACTAACATCGCATTCCACAAGTAAATAATGCGTTTCAACTCATATTTTTATGTAAATATTCACTAAAACAGAAAAATAATTTCGCGGCAACAAGATACGAAAGTGTTGCAAAGTAACGAATTTTTTTTCTCCCCATTTTGCTATTCTGTATCAAAATAATTATATTACGTAAATTTTAGTGGTGCCTGTAATTTCGATTTATTTGCGCATCTTGAACTAATATTTACTTGAATAAACATTAAATGTTTTCGTTAACTCCTGTAAGTGATTGGGACACTTAATTATTTTATAATACTTTTAACGGCTCTGCGTTCATGCTTTATTGAATAATTATTTATATTAATTTTATTTGAATTGGAGCACATATTGCAACAAATTTACAGTATATGTATATTTGTTTCTACTATAGTGTTGGCACCACCAGTACAACTTTGATAGCTTATTATATGTCTTTCTTTTCGTAACTCAAGCGAAATATTTTATATTAAAATATTTTATTTTCTTAAAAGGGGAGCATTCTTAAGCGATTTTTTAATCTATTTTAACAGTTATTTTCTTTAATGTTTGCGTATGGCATTTTCGGTTTTAGGTTTCGAATATGGCACTTATTTCTAAATCCAAGATGGCGGGCGCGATTTTTCGAATAATGGCAAGTTGGGTATCGTTTTCGAGATGTTTGGGAATGTTCAATACAAATATGGGACTCATTTCTAAATCCAAGATGGCAAACACGACAGTTCAAACAAAAGCAATATTCGTAATGAGCACCCCCAAATACCTCGAAAACGATACCCAACTTGCCATTATTTGAAAAATCGTGCCCGCCATCTTGGATTTACAAATAGTGCCATATTCACATTGATCATCCCCAAATACCTCGAAAATGATACCCACATAGCATTTTTTTGAAAAAATCGTGTCCGCCATCTTGGATTTAGAAATGAGTGCCATATTCGTAATG